CAGTTCTAGTCACCACACAATAGGAAGGATGTGTATGCACTGGAGAGGATGTAAATTAGGTTTACCAGGATGTTAGACAGAATGGAGTATTTCAGCCTTGAAGTGAGACTAGATTGACTGGGTGTTCTTTTTCCCTTTAGTGCAGAGAAAGTTGTGGGGAGGACATAAACAGGGTAAATTTGACCTTAGTAGAGGATCAATAACTAGGGGGCATAGATTTAAGTTAAAGTGCAGGGAATTTGAGGAATTGTTTTTCACCAAGAGGGTGGTATCAAGATCTCACTATCTGAGACAGCTTTAGAGGCAGGAACCTTCATAACATTAAGAAGTCTTAGAGGAACACTTGAAGTGCCATATCATACCAGGCTACAGGCCAAGTGTTGGAAAATTGGGAGTACAGCAGATAGACGCTAGATGACCAGCATCAACACATTGGGCTAAAGGGTCTTTTTTTGCGCTGTAAAACTCAATAATTCTAAACAACTCTAAAGGTTTAACTCTAAGACATTTGAGTCTCGTTGCTGACTGCTACATTTAACTGTTCCAAAATATTAGCTTCATTCTCAGGAACAAAGGTGGGTCGTGTTGCAATGTATTCAATAGATCACAAAAAACAGTTTGTCGTTATAGTTAGTTGCAGAAGAAAACAGAGAAAGACAGAAGCATGTTCCATGCAGAAAAGAACTGTTAAGCTGTAAAGCTGAGAAAGCAACTTAGTAAATGAGTCTTGTGTATCTGCAGTCTCAATGAGAGGGAAAGAGCAGTAGGATGTATCTGTATTATTAGTATTCAGGAAGAAGCTCTACATATTACTAGGTTTTCATCTCCAAAGGCCCAAGGTGCTTGAGCTGTCTTCGTGTAACAAACTGATCTTCCCAAGAACCAACCTAGTGAACCTTCCCTGTACTTCCTTAAATGCAAGTACATTCCTCATTAAGTAAGGAGACTAAAAGTGTACATAGTACTCCAGATGTGATTATTCACAGGAATCTCTTTACTTCTTCTTACTTTCCTACAAACACTGCTTCACTCTTCAGTTTACCTCCTTTGCCTTACACTAACACATTGTATGCCTTCTACTTACATCATGACTACAAACAACAGATCGGTCCTGCATAGAAAACCTGTGTTACTCCATTTGTCATTCCGATGTTGTACACTAGGTTCCTGCCTCTAAAAACCACCCATTAGATAATGCTACATTCCTGTGAACAATATCAAGCCAATTCAGTTTGCTGTCAATTTTCTCTCATGAGAAGAATGCACTGAACCTGGTTAAGAGGCAGCAGCAACTGGAAGAGGATTGGTCTCCCTTTACATACTTGGTCCATGTGAAGGTTGTCATGTTGGCCTTACTGAGCAAGAAGGGTGCCATGGCCATTGCATGTGGCAACACTGGAAGAGGGACATTCAGACTTTCTTCACACCTTACCCTGCTTTTCCCTGCCTCCTTCTGTTTAATGTCATGACAAACTGCAGCTACTTTCATCCATGGACTGCTCCAAGAAAAGCAGGCCATCCTTAAAGCACACACATGGCATCATTCAATTTGACCATAGCAAGCACCGACTCAAAAATGAACACCATGCCTCTTTAGAGGGTAAGCTAAATGAGGAATCATCACATAGTGCTTTGATGTGCAGAAGCCAGGATTGATTGCCAAAGATGCCAGTTCACTGGAGAGCAAGGTCATATTAAAACTCTCTTGCACAGGTGCCGATCTCGATGAGGACAATACATCAGGAAATGCACTGGACTGCCTCCCAGCAAGCACACTCACATAAACCAGAGCATTAAAGAGTCTAATCCTACTGGTGTTAAGCTTTGCACAGAGCAAAGAGACCATTCTATTCAATAGTGGTCAACTCCCCAATAAGACAACGGCCGCAGTGAGGATTCCATGGTTTCTTGTCCTCAGCATCTCCACTCCAAAGGTAAACCTATCAGATCACCAATGACTGCAGCGGGACTGCATTCCAAAAACAAACAGTTCCAACACCAGCACAAAGTTGTAGTTAGAAGCCATTATTTGCCTGAAGAATTAAGAAAAGAGCCAACAACAGACTTAACCAGCATCTTAAGAGGACAAATCAGTAAGCAATGGAGGTAGAACAGATGAGCCTTCTAAAGGACTCTACTTCCTAACTGTTACTGGCATGGTTCACTGAGCAACTTCATCACACAGCTAATCATGCACTGGGTTCATAAAAGAATCCTACAACAAACTTCAGACTCTTAACACAAACATTCATTAGATCAGCCCAACCTCATAACTTTGGACCTTGAGCTGTCCATTTTACTGCCATAAATACTGGTGCAGCGTGATCTAATTTCCTAATAGGAAAAATGTGGAACTTTGACATTTTATTGGAAGAAAGCTGTGTTTAACTTGCAGATATAAATAATTATATGGAGAATAACAGGCAGCAGGAAATATTAGAGAACAATGTGATTTAGCACATGGGATCCAAACAGCATTCATAACTGCTAAAGCTTTATCCCTGGCCATTTTCTATAATTACAATACTGGATCATAATCTCAACAGAAGCAGCTAGCAATGCAGTGAAGTCCAATATTACTGTGGTGCACACCACATGATTCAGTTCCTGATAGTTTGTCACCTGATACTGATATGTGTTGCTGGCAAAATTAAATCCTAAAGAATTGAATAAGACCATCAAAATATGCCTGTCTACATTGACATTTCAAGGATGAAATAATTACAGTTTCTTACTACATGTTACTGTATAGGATATTTTCCAATTTTGTCATCCATGGGAAGCTCTGTGTACCAGAGAGTTCATAGGAATTCAGCCACATGCTACTCATTGCTATTCTAGGCTGAGAAGATCTCTCACAGCACAAGACTCCTATTAGGTGTGTCTCTCAATGGATTAAAGTCAGAAAGGTATCCTTTGTATGCAGCACACATTTATTTACTTAATCCTGTATGTGACATCAGTTCAGCTCATATGCCATTATTTTGAAATAAGTTTAATTATATTAAAGTCAATTTTACAGTGTGCACCTCCGTATTCATCTGCTGAAAAAGCACTTGAGAATTTGGGAATATACCCCTTGTGATATTCAATTCATGAACATTTTCAATATGCATGTGGTGGTAAGGTTGTGTGCTGGGAGTAAGAACCCCTAAAATTATCTCTATCATGTCCAAAGCGTGTTTGTTCATTGGTGATAGCATTGCAAATCCATGTTTAGGTACTACAATAACAAAAATTTACAAAATTGGTATCAAATTGCTAGTTTCACAGTGTGCCATGAAAAGATGAGTAACCCAGTTTGGCTGTTTCGATAAATAGCAACATCTGCAGTACATATCTATTGTGATTTATGTATTCAAACACAGCACAAGAGTCATCGACTGAGAACTTTTCCAGATTATTGTAGAAAACATTGCTTGAATGTGTTCCCATTAACAGTTAAAGACAACGCCAAAATAAGCATCAAGCAAGCACACTTAAGTTATACTGATGCATTCCACAGCCTCGTCACTTATTCCTATTATACCATGTCAAAATCAATAATTCAAAATCATTAAAACCATCATTCAAATCCAAAATTGTAAGGATGACTTTTCCACTTTCCATTTTAAAAGCACTTTATGTAACTACCTTCAAATTTAAATGAAATGAGATCTCTTTACACTTAAATATTTTCTCTGATCACAATTCCCCTCATGTTTAGATTAAAGATTGCCATAATTTACAGAAATATCACAGAATATCACACCATGGTATAATAAAATCTTTATAAAGCTCAAACACATTGTGCCTCATTACGGAATCTCATGCCTTTACTTCACGTCTGAGAGCTCAACACAATTTTTCTGACCTGCAGTATCGCTTAGATGCTGGCATGACTGTGATACCAGCTTTCTGAATTCTCTTCAACTTCTTGATTTCTTCTTCATCTTTCCTCTCCCATCTTGTATCTTCTCTGGACACTCTGTGCCCTGAGTCTTCAGCCACACAAACTTGTAACTGCTTCTTAAGACTACCAGCATCCCCAGTAAGAGCTGGTTCACATTTCACTGCTGCCTTGGTATCATCAATGCCTTGAACTTTAGTAAATGTAGATGATGGCTGGCTAAGCTCTTCATCTTTATAGGATTCTTCATTTTGTTCCTCTTCTATAGACTCTGGGTGACTATGACTAATGAGTTATATATATACATATTAAGACAAAAAAGTTGTAGATCTTACACAAACATCCAACTTACATTGTTGGCACACACCATTTATGCCCTTCATTAGGATATCATTTAACTATAATTACAGACAGTGGAAACATTTCCAAAGGGATTGCTTTAAGCATTCTATGTTATTACCTTAGAAGCAAGCTGTTAAGGTAGTAGCTAAGTGAAATTCAACGACAATTTTTTCACAGCAGTATTTTCACAATGGTCTATAGTGTCAACTGGATTTAGAAGTTTCAAGTTGAAGGCTCCTCTGTGAAGGAATGTTGCTGAGACTATCACACCCACCTCCTCGGTGACCAACATCTTTACATTGAGCATGCTTTTTTCTCACAAACCAGGATTACAGAATATAACCAAACCTTTTACAATAATGCCCATTCAGCAGCCTGCTCATGTAATCATTGCTGAACTATTTCCAAATACAGTCACTTGGTTCCCTTAATTGCATTTCAAATGAAAGGTGAATTTGTATCCGAATTCATGATGATGGTAACGAGTCCATTTTCATTGGACAAAAATGTAAGATGTTGTCTGCTGGGAACTAAGAGATAGCAACTGGCATTGCTGGAACTAGGCATACTGTTCAACTAATAAAATCATCAAATGAATAACAAAAACTATTTATAATCATATCAAAATGTCGAAATGTATAATTGAATCACATTGTAATAGCTCTACAAGTGGATAGATTAGAATTAGATTTTATTATCATGCAAATTGACTTGTGAATCCTGCTTAGCACCAGTAATTCACAACACATGACCTAATGATAGCACCTACCTGAACGGTCGCTCTGTTGCTATAGGTGAGGTAGTGTTACTCCAGCTTTTCCGATAATTTTCTCCTCGTTCTGCCCGTTTCTTCCGAAGAGGTGCTGGCATATAGGCTGTATGGTTGCTCTTGTTGGGTAGGTACTGGTTAAATGGCAAGGATGACTTGGGTTCACTGTAGGAAGTCCGTCTTACCGACATGTCGTCTCGTTTCATGTCAGGTGCCTTCTGTGTTACATCTGATTCAGAGTCACTGCCACGACCTTTCAGAGTACACAAAAGAATGGAATCAGAAAATGATACAACACCTTTCAGTAATGTGCACATAAATTTGCAGAATGGTGCTAGTCCAAAGGTTAGTTGTTTCCTTTTCACCTGCAGCTTGCAAGACCTCATGATCCATATAGTCCTGAGCCTCCATCCAGACCCTGTCTCTTCACACTCGGGGAAATGTAGAACCAGGACTGTTCTTTTTCCTGATTTTATCTTGCCATCTAGGATCAAGCGGCGAGGGAATGATATCAGGAAGCAGGATAATCCTAACTTCCTTACAGCGACTGAAAGAGTCTTAATGAAAGCTATCCACTGATCCCCTACAGCGTAGCACATTGCAGAATACCTGAAATTGGCCCTTTTTCAAGATACTAGTTCGTAAAATGGCCCTTGTCAAAATATTGTAACATACATCCTGGAGTCACAGGTATATTCCACATATGAACTTTTTTTTCCCTCTGAACTATACTTTAAATCTGTGTACAGATCAATAAGCTCTGTATAAAACCTTTACTCAGACCATCACTACATTGGTGAAAAGGAACATTGTCCTGAATGAGAATACTAAGTATTAACACTAAGTAATATCTAAGTATGTTTCATTATTTTCCAAAGTGCATGTTTTCACTGCTACTCAAATTTGCCGACTGTTTCACACAGAGGGCTGTTTTCTTTGTTAGTCTGTTCTAATAGTCAAAAATGAAACATCCCACTGCCATTTCCTCATTTACACAACATCTCCAGAAATACTATCCAGGGCAAGGCTGTAATATGCTCCATTTCCCAAACTGACTTTAAGTGTATGTTTTCTTAAATTACATTTGGTAAGTTAACATACTTTGTAATTATGTTTCCACTTTAAAAAGGGTCACTGACACTGGGTAGCTCAGTGGCTCAGTGGTCAGCACTGCTGCCTCACAGCGTCAGGGACCTGCATTCGATTCCAGCCTCAGGCTGTGTTGTTTACTCTCATAGTCCATCGAGGTTAGGTGGATTGGCCATGTTGAATTTCCATCAGTGTCCAGGGATGTGCAGGCTAAGTGGATTAGCCAGGGGAAAAGCAGGGTTACAGGGACAGGGTAAGTCTGGGTGGGAGGGTCGATGCTGGACTTTATGGGCCAAATGGTCTGCTTCCACACTGTAGGGATTCTATGATTTCTGGTGTGGGTCTATGACTTTCAGTGAAGTTACAATGTTTTTGTAAAGTACAAAAACCATTATAATTGAGTAAGAGTGTTGTAAACAGCAGGACAATTCATGCAGCTTTCTTTCTTATCTCTGGCAATTTCATCAGTTATAGTTATTGTCAAATATCACCTTTCATAGATAAGGTTTGCATGCATATCACATTAAATAGGTCAATTATCCTTCAGCATACATCAATGTAAAGCAGTTTAGCTTTGTAACAACACATGCTCATAGTGTAACTTGTACCAGCTTGTCCAAATACAGTTTAACAAAGCAGTACGAAACTACCGCCAGGAAACTGTCACACATTACTTCAGTGTCATTCTTGTTTCCAAATAACTGGAGCCCAATGTGAAATAACGTGTAAAATCTGTAATATTAATAAAGGCATCAGACTACCACTTAAAACAGCATTCTGATGGCACTCAGCAGATCTCCATGTATATGTACAGGTTTCCATGCTCAAGGCAATACATGTCCACAGAGCAATACATGAGGTGCCCATATGGCCAAGCGCTGCTGGTTCCCTGTCACTCTCAATTAGAGTGGTGAGCTATAGGTTCATGTAATTACACACATCTTGGCAGATTTATCCAGTGCACCAAAGGTTGTAAACAATCCTAAATTTACTACAACTGCTGAATTTGCACATAGCTGATACCCAGGACATTATCATGACCTACCGTCACTACTTCCTCTAAGTATCACCTCTGGGGATGGTGTCTGTTGTGACCGTGATCCAAATGAATCCAGACTATCAAAGGAATTGTCCCTGGTATGTCTGGGAGGTGACAGGGAGTCACTGCGTTCAGAGTCCCAGCTATCAATGTAGCCACTGTCACGTATGCTTCTTTTTGGACTGTCTGTATCGTCCATCTCCTGGTGACAGGCAGAACATGTTATATCACATTAAGATAGACCTGGATTTTTAATAAGTTACTTACCCCAATCTTCAATGGTTAAAACAAGGAAACAAAATCACCAACTCAAACACCATATTCCATTTGTGTATTATGGTTCAGAGAAGTAGATAAAATAAAGATTACACTGGCTGTGTTTGGTTTAGCTGTGCATTTTCCGACTTTGACGTTCTTCTAATGAAATATCCTCTCGTTTTCAAATTGCTCTCCAATTAAGGGCAATCGATCTTGTGCACTCCCCCATGTCTAGGACCCTGCCCCTGGCCATTCCCAGAGCAGAGCGACAACTTGCGAATTGCAGTGTGACAAAGTCTGTTCTCAACTTTCCAGTGAAATGAAATTCTTGGATTAAGGAAAAGTAGCTTTCAGAGGCACTCAGCAATTAAAAAAATGTAAAAGCTTTTCCTCTTCCCTTAAAAAGAACTTGCTCCAGTGCTTTGCTGCTTGCCAGCTATTGGCTTTGAAGGCTATGAACGCAGTTGCATCTGACCTGCATGGTTGGAACAGTGAGAACAATTGCTGCCTTTCACAGACCCTGATTATAAATTCTTTCCAAGGCAAGAAGCCCATACTAAACACTGAAACTCTAGCCCAAGGAAAGGTCAATGGCAGCCATCCTACATTACACTCAGTCCACTGCCTTGTCTCAATTAAAAATTACTTCAACATTAATTGTTATAGCAAAGAACTGATCGACACATGCATGCTCAAGAGATCGCAGTTTCACTTTTCAAACGTCTCCATTAATTGTTACAATTTAATCATGATATTTTCCAGGACTGAAATAAAAGTTACATCTGATATCTCACCACAGAATTAACACTGGTAACATGTTAACAAGATATTCAGAAACAGCACACGGTTGGAATACAGTGGTGTTTTTGTTCACTTCAGTACTCCTATCACGTGGCTCCATGATCTAGTCCTTTTCAGATTTTGTTAGTCATTCTTCACCTCTTAATGCTTAAGTTAAAAATGTTGAGAGTGAACTAAGAATGCAGGGAGTGAGTACAGCAAGTGATGAAATGATATTTTTGTAAACGTATGAAATATTCCTAATGTCTCACACTGTGCCTATTTTAAAAGCAGTGAATGAAGGCAGTTATTGTCAAATTCAGTTAGTCTGTAATGAGGGTGAAACTTTCCCTCTCTCACCAGTTATGGGGAAAGCTTCTGACAAAAATGACATAAAAATTATGGAATTAAAAACTGGGACATCACTGGAGGTATTTATCACACAGGTTTAAAAACAATTACCTAACGTTCTTAAAGACTCAACTGCGCTAGTCCCTTGGTTACATTTGTAATGTTTCGGATGAATTTATAATGACTCCATCAAGCAAGCATTAGTACAGTAATATCATTAAGCATAATTTACATATGAAATTCCTTTTCCTGCTTAATATTAACAAAATACAAGGTTGAGGTTTTTTCTTAATTGCTACTTTTTCCACATTGTATTAATAATAACACAAGTGAAAATGGGCATTTTGGGGTTCAAGTTAATCGTCATGTACATTAATTGCAACAATGTTGGCAAATGAAATTGAAAATATATTACCTTCTGGATCTGAGATAACAAGCCTTCAAATTCTTTCAGGTTCAGTGTCGGCCCACTGTAGGATGTGCAGCTGTTTGCTGTTTTTCCTAACCAATAAATAGTGATCAAAACCTGAGGGATATAATTATGTTAGTGAATAACAATGCAGAATGCTATCATTGGGAAAAAAAACTGTATTTCTAAAAATAGTTATTGCTAAATGAAGAGTATTTTCAATGATATACAAGACAGAATTTAATGAGGGTAGTACCAGAGAGGTCAGGGAGAGCTGCATTTATCACCAAACCGGCTCCAGGAGCCTTTGAGAACCCAGGACTCCTGCCGAGCAGTGAACCTATGGACAAGGTCGTTTAAGTGCAGTTCTTTGTCAGATATGGGTGTTCTCTCTCATTCTTTCATGGGATATGGTCATTACTGACAAGGACAGCATTTGTTGCTTATCCCTAGTTGCCTTTGAGAAGGCTGCAATGAACTCTTCTTAAAGCACTGCAATCCACGGAGGGTACATACACCCACAATGCTACTGTGAAAGGAGTTGCAGGATTTTGACTAGCGACTGGAAAGGAATGACATGTATTTCCAAATCTTGTTGCTGTGTGGCTTGTAGGGGATCTTGCAAATGGTGGTGTTCCCATGCACCTGTTACCCTTACCCTTCTAGCTAGGGCTAGGACGTTGTTGACAAAGGAGCCTGAGTGATTTTCTGTAGTACCTCTTGTAGATGGGACACACTACTGCCAATGAATGTTTTAGTGGATAGGATGCCAATCAAATAGGCTGCTTTACAAGGTGACCCACCATCCAGGATTTGCTGAGGAAGGGTCACCGGATCCGAAACGTTAACTCTGAATTTTTCTTCACAGATACTGCCAGGCCTGCTGAGCTTTTCCCACAACTTCTGTTTTTCTGGGACTGACCTGGAGTTTGGCTTGATGGAACATGCCCCAGGCCTGGGATTCCAGGGATGCCACGTGTCCTGGTATCTCGGGGCAGCAAGCGAGGAGAGTGCTCAAGGCCTCGACTTGTCACTGCCCAATCATCACTGGTGTCTGTACAATTCAGAACGGGGAAAGTGTCCTTGCACAGACACTGCCATGAGAAAGCAGTGCACTAGTATCCAGCACTATGCTCTTCCTGTCTTCATTATTTCACCAGCTGGATGGTTAGGGTCAAGGAAGTGTAGAGTTGGGGGAGCAGGGCCTCCAGGGGCAGGGGGTACTTTGAAATCAGGCCTGGTGGTGGTAGTAGATAACACAGTGTGGAGCTGGAGGAACACAGCAGGCCGGGCAGCATCAGAGGAGCAGGAAAGCTGACGTTTCAGGTCGGGACCCTTCTTCAGAAAATTTCAGTGGTTCAATTTGAGGTAAATCATTTTGGTACACAGTACATGGAGAGACAGTGTACAATAAAGCGTACTATTCTAAAGGTTCTGCAGGAGCAGAGACACCTGGGTGCAAAAATACATGAGGTATTAAAGATGGCAGGATAGGTAGAGAGATATTACCACTGTATTCTAGGATTCATTAATAGGAACATCGAGTGCGAGATCTAAGAGGTTAAATAAGACACTGGTTAGATCTTTGCTGAAATAATGTGTATGGTTCTGGATGCCACACTTTAGGAAGGTTGTGAGTGCTTTGGAGATGGTGCAGAAGAGGTTTACAAGAATGGTTCCATGATGAGAAGCTTCAACTATGAGGATAGATTGGAAAGATTTGGACTGTTTGCCTTGGACAGGAGGAGGCTAAAATGACATTTGATAGAAGCTTTCAAAATCAGTACAGGTCAGGATAAAGAAGAGAAACTGTTCCCACTCATAAAAGGATGGTGAACTGGGGGCACAAGTTTAAAGTGTTTTGCAAAAGAAGCAAACGTGAGGTGAGGAAAAAACTTTTTCACACCGCCAGTAGTTAGGGAATAGAATGGAAATGAATTGTGGCATTCAAGAGGATATTGGATGATTAATATAGCAATCAATCATCAATCATGATTGATGACAACTATGTCCAGGGTTACAGAGTAAAGGCAGAAGTCAAATTGCTCAGAGAGCCGATTTAGACACGACAGGCTGAATGGCCTCCTTCTGTATGCTAAGTATTCTATAATGCTGTGAAGTGAGGACTGAGATGTCACAGTTCAACTGGTGCATCTTTGTCCTACTTCATCCTTGAGTACTGGATGATTCTCGTGCTGCCCCTTGCTATCCCTCTCCTCACAAACAGCCTTCCAGGCGTCCTCCAGGTCCCAACACAGATCTGAGATACAACTTTAAGGGTGGCCTTATTATGTACAGTCCCTTTAAATTGTGCAGTCAGCTTTCCTGAGTACCAAGTTTCTAGCTCAGCACATTTTTCCAGTGCCAGGACTCTATCCCCAGCAAGTTCAAAAGACGCTCACAGGAGGTTATATGCAAGTTGCCAGCTTTCACTGGGCCAACTGTAGAAGGCATGAAAAGCATGTGAATTTCACTAAATTGGAGACACAGGATTAATTCATGTTGATTTATATTACATTTGTATTTAAATTACAAGAAGTTGGGATGAGAAATGTACCAATGAGCTTCCCACTGCTAATGGGCAAGTTTCCAGTTTTGTTACCTTCCTGCTGCTGACTTGATCACCTACAATTTCTGATGCCGAGACTCCCCTGCAGCACACTTCTGCCTGCCACCCACCAGCTTGCCCACTCCAGCAGGATCCAGTCCAATGTCTCTACCTAGACACTCATCAGCTGGAACAAAGTAGGCATTAAGCATAATATTGTACCCTCCCTCCCAGATTCTTCATATACCAATGCATAGCACATAAGGGACAAACCAGTGCAATATCATTGATGCAATCACCTTGAAATAGCTCTGTAGCACTAAATCAAACAGGCTGTTTTTCTCAATTTTCATAGAAATCACCCATAAAAGTGTTCATATAAGACACTTACATTTTTCATTTTCCTGCTGTACTCTGATACCCTGAATTAATAAAACAGACAAGATAGTTAATATATGCCAGATGACATTACTCTCTTACTAATGAATTTGTTTACAATACAGTATTTTTAAAAATTTGAACTGCAAAAATAAACAGGACAATTTGATTGAGTTTTTTGAGGAAGTGATGACAATGATTTATAATGGTAGGTCACTGGACGTTGTCTACATTGACCTTACTAAAGCATTTGACAAGGCCCGTCATGGTGGGCCGGTCCAGATGATTAAGTCGCACAGGATCCATGGTGTATTGACAAACTGGATACAAAACTGGCATGGTCATAAAAGGCAGAGGGTAGTTGTGGACGGGTGTTTTTCTGATTGGAGGCCTGTAACCAATGGTGTTCTGCAAGGATCAGTCCTCAGACATGTTGTTTGTAATTTACATAAATGATTTGGATGAAAATTTAAGTGGTCTGATTAGTCATTTTGCAGACAAAAGATGGTGAAGTTGCGAATACTGAGGCAGGTTGTCAAAGGATACAGCAGGATATAGATCAATTGTCAAGTTGGATGGAGAAATGGCAGATGGAGTTTAAGCCGGAGAAGTATGAAGTGACACATTTTGGGAGGTCAAATGCAAGAGTAGAGGACACAGTTCAAATTATAATTCATTGCTTATATTTATTACTATCATATATTCATTTAATAAATAAACCAACATGGTTTTCTTATGGTGATCTTCTTGAGTTAGCTTTTGGCCCTTCTCTTGAAATGTTATATTGTTTCTTTTCCCTCTGTCTGGCTTGATATCTCCTAGCTGGAGTTCAGATATGAGGTATTTGTTAACGAAGCCAGTTGAGAATTCCTGTGGAAATCGTTTACTGAGTGTGTCGTGAGAATATGGAACTCATTGCCATAAGGAGCCATTGATGTAAATATTAGTTATGCTTACAGGGAAGCTAGACGAATACACATGGGGGAAGGAATGGAAGGGCAATTTGATAATGGGAAAAGGGGTAGATTGTCGAATATCAGCACTGGCACAGTCCAGTTGGACTGGGTGGCTTGTTGCCTAACTGCAAATGCGACATAATACTATGAATTTGCCATTAAGTTTGGGCTATTTTTCTTTAAATACAGTTATAACATCAATATTTTCTATGAATGATTATACATTTGAAAACAGAAACTTGAGTGGCAGTTTTGTTCTAATTTTTTTAGTTAATAAATGTTGCTGTATTTAAGACTCAGTAGCAAGAGATTAACTATTTTTTCTACCACAGTGTGCAGTTTTCTTATGAATTCCAGCTTAACCCTGAGGAGGCTACTGTATTCAGAATGATGCCCAGACCCAAAACAAAGTTTTATATTTAGTTTAAAAATAGGAGTACATTTTCATTTCAGTATCAAACAATATGATACACCTTTTTTTGATTTGACAAGGTGCTGTACAGAAGGTTAATACCCAAGGAAAGATCACATGGCTTAGGGTTAATTTATTAGCTTGGATAGAGGACTGGCTAATCAACAGAAAGCAGAGAGTTGGGATGAATGGTCCTTTTCTGGTTGGCAGGATGTAACTAGTCTGGTACCACAGTGTTCAATCCTCATGCCCCAACTATTTAAAATCTATATTAATGACTTGGATCAGGCATAGAATGTACTATGGCCAAATTTGCAGATGGCACTAAAATACGTGTGCAAGTTAGTTGCAATGAAGAAATAAGAAAGTTACCAATGGATATAGATAGGTTAGGTGAATGGGCCAAAATTAGGCAGATGAAGTTTAACATAGATAGATGTGAGGTTATCCATTTTGATCGGAGGAATAGAAAGGCAACTAATTATCTAAATGGAGAGAAACTTCAGGGTGCTTCAGTGCTGAGGGATCTGGGTGTCCTCATGTATAGCTCACAGAAGTTAGTATGCAGGTACAGCAGATAATAAAGAAAGCAAATGGAATTTTGCTGTTTATTTCTAGAGGAATAGAGTACAAATGTAGGGAAGGACTGCTGCAATGTATTAGTGAGACCAAACCTGGAGCATTGCATCTGATTTTAGTCCTGTTACTTGAGAAGGGATTATAGTTTTTTCAATTGCATTGGAGGCAGTTTGGAGGAGACTCACTAGGCTTACCGCAATGACTGGATCCACCAGTGAACATCACCTTCTGGCCTTCTCCAGCAATGGCCCTGCTTTGTACTGTAAGTCTGCAGAGCAATTGGCCTCTGATGGGCCAGCAGCTCAATGAGGCAGGACTTCTTGCTGGAGTTGGAGGTAAGCCCCACCTCACATGAATTAAGCGATCAGCCAGTCAAGCAGAGACAGACTTGTCCCATAAATTTCCACAAGGAATCCCTAAAGTTCAGCCCCAAGTTACAATTGCCTCCAAATATGAAAGTGTTCATTAGTTAAGAAGAGAAAAATCTTCATTAGTAAGGAGGAGGTTTGAAGATGGCTGATAAGCATAATTTGCAATCTGCAGTCTCTGCCACACAAGAGGGCAGGTAGTGGAGGGTCATGAGTTTTTGGGAGGTTTGTACATTCTCCCGAAACATTGACTTTGCCTCTCCAGAAGCAAATTTCTTGATCTGTTTGGTGCCTTCCGAAGACAGCCATCCCCAAATTTATTGGTCACAAGCTAGGGATGCTAATGGGTGGCAAGGATGTTTGACCTCTTCAGAGATGTGTTGAGAACATCATTTACACATTTTAGCTGTTCTCCTGGGAGTTTGTTACGAATGGCTGATTTCTAAGTAAACCAGTCACTTGGGAATCTGCTACCTGATTTATAAATAAAAGCTCAGACCCACAGAGTGGGTTTTGAGTGATTAGCACCTCAGGTTAAACTCCCTGCCAGCCATCTCCCTCCAATGAGAGGGGGATCCTCTGCAGCTATGGCGCTTTTCAATAGTGGCCATGTTGGCTCAGGCCAGGATGGTGTTGCTGGTTGTCTTTCTTGCCAGTGGATTCAGTGGATCTTGTGAAGGCACCATGATGATATTTGTCCAGTCCTTTGAGGTGCCTGCTGTATGTTGTCTAAGTCTCTGAAGCATGTTGGAGTACAAGGATCACAGCTTGCCAGAAAACCAAGACTAGATTAGTCTCAGGTTTGAGATCCCGGTCTTACATATCCTTCTCTTCAATCAGCTAAAGGCTAAGCTGTTACAATAAAGGTAACGTTGAATTTTGAATGTCATCAAGGGAAAATGCCCAACTCATGGAAAATGGTCTGCCTGTGCTGTGGCAGCTTGTTCGAAGAGGACTTCAGTTTTCTAGATGTTTAGTGAAAAGTCCATTTTTCCAGATGCTTCAGAGAAGATGATGACAATCACCTAGAGCTTAGTTTCTGAGTGAGTGCACAAAAGTCTCAGCTGTATACCGGTGATCTGACTGAAGCTGACTTTGTTTTTGGATTGAAGTACGTAGAACAGTTTCCCAACTGTTCTGTAAATTATCCCCACGTCTGGAAGGTAGTTTGCTGGAGGTAAGGTGTGGTATTGCACTTAGGAAGATGGAGGAGATGGTTGGTACATTGATGGAACCTTATTTGATCCCAGTCTCCACTAAGATAGGGCACATGTTGGTTCCATTGATGTAAATAAGAACATAAGAACTAGGAGCAGGAGTAGGCCATCCGGCCCCTCAAGCCTGCCCCGCCATTTAATAAGATCACGGCTGATCTTTTTGAGACTCAGCTCCACTTACCCGCCCGCTCACCATAACCCTTAATTCCTTTACTGTTCAAAAGTTTATCTAGCCTTGCCTTAAAAACAGTCAGCAAGGTAGCTTCAACCGCTTCACTGGGCAGGGAATTCCACAGATTCACAACCCTTTGGGTGAAGGAGCTCCTCCTCACCTCAGTCCTACATCTGCTTCACCTTATTTTGAGGCTATGCCCCCTAGTCCTAGTTTCACCTGCTAGCAGAAACAACCTCCCTGCCTCCACCTTATCTATTCCCTTCATAATCTTATATGTTTCTATAAGGTCTCCCCTCATTCTTCTGAATTCCAATGAGTATAATCCCAGTCTACTCAGTCTCTCCTCATAATCCAACCCTCTCAACTCTGGAATCAACTGAGTGAATCTCCTCTGCACCCGCTCCAGTGCTAGTATATCTCTTCTCAAGTAAGGAGACCAAAACTGCACACAGTACTCCAGGTGTGGCCTCACCAGGACCCTATACAGCTGCAGCATAGCCTCCCTGTTTTTAAACTCCATCCCTCATGCAATGGCAGACAAAATTCCATTTGCCTTTTTAATTACCTGCTGCACCTGCAATCCTACTTTTAGCGAATCATGCACAAGGACACCCAAGTCCCTCTGCACAGCAGCGTGCTGCAATTTTTTTACCATTTAAAACATAGTCCATTTTGCTGTTATTCCTACCAAAATGGATGACCTCACACTTATCAACATTGTACTCCATCTGCCAGACCTTTGCCCACTCACTTAGACTATCTATATCCCTCTGCAAACTTTCAGTGTCTTCTGCACACTTTGCTCTACCACTCACCTTAGTGTCATCTGCAAATTTTGACACACCACACTTAGTCCCCAACTCCAAGTCATCTATGTAAATTGTAAACAATTGCGGTCCCAACACAAATCATGGCTTGCATGGGATAATGCATAAATAGAAAATGTCACACTGACCGTGTACTTTACAAATAGCAGAACTGCCATTCAACCTCAATATTGTTCAAATGCATTATACTGCTACTGGATATTACTTTAAATAGAAAGCAGTCTATTGGCCTATTTGAAGTGGAAATAAGAGCTGGAAAAGCAGTTTATCTTGGGCCTTAAACTGTGAAGGAGCTGATCCATAAAACACTGAGTAAAGTGTTGTGACAGTTTTCATTGCATAGATAGCTTCGAACAATTTTTTTTTCTGAAGACAAAGGGTCATCTCAAAGAACTGAACAACAGCTACTGTCCTGTTTAAGTGGGATTAATCAGCTAATGTTACATAGAAACATGCAAAGATTCTTTATGATTTGCAAATGTTGGAAGATTTTTCTTCCAAATGTATTGC